CCCCCCCCCCAGCAGCACAGAGTCTCAGTCTTGTCCCTGTGTGTGTCCTTAGCTCACAGCCTGCGTCCAGGCCTCCTCCGCCATGCTCTACCCCCTGCACTGGCAGCACATCTACATCCCCACGCTGCCCCCGCACCTGCTCGACTACTGCTGGTAAGGGCATGGGGGCCTTGGGGGGGACACTGCCAGCGTGCTCCAGGGAGGCAGGAGGGTTGGTGCTGGCCACAGTTCCCCAGACAGGTGCTAGGGGGCGCTGTGCTGCAGGGAGCAGGTCGAGGACTCAGTAGGGGGCGCTCTCACTGGCAGCACATCTACATCCCCACGCTGCCCCCGCACCTGCTCGACTACTGCTGGTAAGGGCATGGGGGCCTTGGGGGGGACACTGCCAGCGTGCTCCAGGGAGGCAGGAGGGTTGGTGCTGGCCACAGTTCCCCAGACAGGTGCTAGGGGGCGCTGTGCTGCAGGGAGCAGGTCGAGGACTCAGTAGGGGGCGCTCTCCCTTGGCAGTCAGCGCCTTCCCCAGTTTCCCAGGGAGGCACTGGAGGCGCTGTGCCACAAGAAGTGGGTTTGGGGGGGCTGATCTGTTACATTGATCCCCAATGTAGGGTTGCCACGGGTCTGGTTTTCGCCCGGACTGTTCAGTATTCGGGTCCCCTGTCCGGTAAAAAAAAACAGAAAATACCGGATGGAAGCCCAGTTGGGACAATTTACCCCTGCCGTGTCAGGAGAGTGAGCACTGGGCCATTTAAAGGTGCAGTGCCCCCATTTTTTTTTCTTTTTTGCTCAACTTTGGTCCCCCCCCCCTTTTTTGTTTTGCTCAACAGAATTTTTTCCCGGTGTTGTTTTTTTTTGGGGAGTGGTGTTCAGTATTTTTGTTAAACCATCTGGGAATTCTGGTGCTTGGAGGCATGCAGTGTTTTCCCCAGAAAATTAGGAGGGTGTTCAAATTTACAGGGGGGTGTCAGGGCCAATGAGGGGTGAGATTGTGAGGGTGAAGGGGGGCTGTATGGTTCTCAATGTGCACGACTTTGCATGGATCGATCTCAACTAGACATAGAAACTGACGGGGTCTAAATTAGCTGCTCCCACTTGAGAGGGCGAGATCTTGGAGTCCCTGCGGAGGGTCCTCTGAAAACATTCACTCTATGTGCAGCCGCAGCCAAAAAAGCTCATGGGATCTTCAGCGCTATTAGGAAAGAAACGGCTAAGACAGGCAATATCATAAAGCCTCTCTAGAAATCCACGGTTGGCTCAGATCTTGACTACTGCATGCAGTCTGTGTTACCCCATGCCCAAATATATTTATATTGGGGAGAGGGGCTACTAACATGATTCAGAGTATGAAACTGGAGGAGGGATGAAAATGACTGGGACTTTTCAGCGTGGAAAAGAGATGGCTAAGGGAGGATATGACAGACTCTTAGAAAATCTTGACGGGTGTGAAGAAAGTGAATAGGGAATGGCTATTTAACCCATCCCGTAGCACAAGAACTAGCAGCCACCGAATGCAACTGATAAGCAGCCAGTGTAAAACAAACCAAAGAAAGTATTTCTTCATGAAGTGTACAGTCAGTCAACCTGTGGAACTCCTTGCCAGAGGATGTTGTGAAGGACAAGACTAGAACAGGGTTCAGAGAAGAGCTAGATCCGTTCCTGGAGGACAGGTCCATGGGTGGCTATTAACCAGGAAGAGCAGGGATGCAGCCCTGCCATGCTCCCAGTGTGACTGCCAGTCACTGGGAATGGGCAACTCCCTCGGGGGCACCCTGCACCGGCCGCTGTGGGGAAACAGGACGCTGGGCTAGATGGACCTTTCGTGGCCATTCTCCTGTAAAAATTAATTATTATACAAAACGTTGAGGACCGACACTCTCCAAGATACCGACCTCTCACGAGGACAACGGTGTAAGACCATGCCCTTGGCAAATGGGGTTCTTTAAATAGCGTGGCCTAGGAGGAAGCATGAACTACCGACCTCTCACGAGGACAACGGTGTGAGACCATGCCCTTGGCAAATCGGGTACTTTAAATAGCGTGGCCTAGGAGGAAACATGAATTGATGCCCCAAAAGCCAGCGTTCTGCAGCAAAGTCATCAACCCGAGTCGAACAAACACCATCCAGCCTTCCTGCAGCTTGCCCCTCTCTTTTCCCTCCAGCGCACCCCGCTTTTGTTGTCCTTGGTGAGGGGAGACTCAGAATGCAGAGGTGTTTTCACCTCCCAGGTGTGGGGGGGAGGCACTTGGCTTGTTCCTCCAGCCCCGGCCTCACCACTCAATCTAGCTACTGCTGGTTATTGAGCTACTGTTCACTCTACTTCAGGGCTGGGCAATCAGTTTTTATGGGGGGGCCACTCCCAAGATTTTGGAAAGTGGTCGAGGGCCGCACTCTTCCGTGGTATTAATGGAGGAGGTGCGGGATCTGGGATGGAGGCTGGGTGCAGAAGGGAGCTTGGGATAAAGCATTGGGGTGCAGGAGGGAAAATGGGGTCTGGGAGGGAGTTTGGGTGAAGGAGGCAGGGAGAGATTGTGTTCTCGGGCAGGAGGTTGGGGTGCCAGATCTAGGAGGGGGTATGGGTGCATGTGGAGTAGTGAGACAGGAGTGGGGGGCAGAGGGTTGGGGAAGAATAGGGCTGAGGTGCCAGAGGCAGGTTCTGCCAGGAGACTTTTCAGTCTACCTGCTGGTCCGCAGAGCTTAAAATGTTTCTACCTGCTTGGCCATGTGCTTGAGTGAGTAAGCCCGAGGGTTGTGCTTTGTGGCTGCTTGTTATTCAAACAGGCAGCTCCCATTGGCCAGTGTCTGGCCAATGGGATTGTGCTGGGGGCGGGAGCAGCATCTGAATCTCGCTCCTCCTTCCCTCTGGACTCAAAGAGAAAGAGCCTTGCAGCCAAGTTTCTGAGCAGAGTGCAGGGCAAGCAGGGTAGCCTGTCTGGAGCTCCCCACTGCCTCCATGGGCTGGATCTGGTGGCTTGATGGGCCGGATCCAGCCCGCAGGCCGTATTTTGCCCAGGTCTGGTCTACTGCCACCTGCTGCTGTGACCCCTGCAGGCTGCTCCCTTGAGGTTCCAGCTCTCACCGAGGGAACCTCTCCGCCGGGGGTGTAACTAACAGCCGGGCCAGCGCAGACTCGAGCTGAAGCATCCACACTACAAATGGGGTCGGGTACAGCGTGACCTGGGCAAAGCAGTTCAACAAGGACAAGTGCGGAGTCCTGCACTTGGGACAGAAGAATCCCAAGCATTGTTACAGGCCTGGGACCAACCAGCTAAGTAGTAGTTCTGCAGAAAAGGACCTGGGGGTTACAGTGGATGAGAAGCGGGAGATGAGTCAACAGTGTGCCCTGTTAGCCAAGAAGGCTAACGGCATACAAAGGTGCATTAGGAGTAGCATTGCCAGCAGATCTAGAGAAGTTATTATTCTCCTTTATTCCCCACTGGTGAGGCTACATCTGGAGTATTGTGTCCAAATGTCCAGTATTGTGTCCCCACTACAGAAAGGATGTGGATGCATTGGAGAGGGTCCAGTGGAGGGCAGCAAAAACTATCAGGGGGCTGGAGCACATGACTTATGAGGAGAGGCTGAGGGATTTGGACTTGTTTAGTCTACAGACGAGTGAGGGGGGATTTGATAGCAGCCTTCCACCACCTGAAGGGAGGTTCCAAAGAGGATGGAGAGAGGCTGTTCTCAGTAGTGACAGATGACAGAATGAGGAGCAATGGTCTCAAGTTGCAGTGGGAGAGGTCTAGGTTGGATATTAGGGAAAACTATTTCCCTAAGAGGTTGATGAAGCACTGGAATGGGTTACCTAGGGAGATGGTGGAATCTCCATCCCTACAGGTTTTTAAGTCCCGGCTTTGGCCACCGCTGCTCCAGCCGTAGTGGTAGCTGGAACCCTGGGCCCTTTAAATTGCCGCCGGAGCGCCGTGCGGTGAGCTCCGTGTGGCTCAGAGGGCTGGGGGGGACAACGTGAAGATTTGGCTGTCCCTGGCTCCTCCCCTTCTGCACAAGGCCCCACCCCTCTCAGGAACATCCCTAGAGGTTTTTAAGTCTCAGCTTGACAGAGCCCTGGCTGGGATGATTGAGTTCGGGTTGGTCCTGCTTCGGGCAGGGGGCTGGACTTGATGCCTCCTGAGATCTCTTCCATCCCTAGGTAGGGTTACCAGGTGTCCAGTTTTCATCCAGACAGTCCAGTATTTGTGGCCCCTGGTCAGTAAAAAACCAGAAGATACCTGATAGACGGAAGGCCGGCGGGGACATTCTTCCCTTGCCACATTTGGCGGGGGCGGGGGGAGCGGGGAGGATTTAAAGGCGCAGTGACCTTTTTTTTTCACTCAACAACTTTTTTTTTGCTCAACCAGTTTTTTCTCTCGCCATGTTCACGATCTTTTGTGAAAGTATATGGCAACCTTAGCCCTAAGATTCCATGATTCAATGCAAAGACGCTCTCTGGGGACTCTCCGACAGTATTTGTGATTCATAGGCAGCCCATCAAGCAAACATCTGTCCCCACCCTCTGTCTCCACTGGGATGGGGCGTTTCAGTTGAGGGATGAATTGGAGGGGCAGTTCCAGAAGCTGGAAGACGTTGCTTGTGTTAGTGAAGCTAATCCCGTCAAGGTGGGATGTTAAATAGCAACTAATTCACTAGTCGAGTAGTCGATGGACTTCCTGCTGGCCCTGAGTTCCACATTCCTCCTTTGAAATGTACAAGACTCCCAGTGGGGGCTCTTGTACATTTCAAAGGAGGAATGGGGAAGTGCCTATCGAAATTCCATCGACTACTCGACTGGTAAATTACTTGCTACTTAACATCCTGAATTTGTACCATTCGATGTGGAGATGCGAATATTAAAAAGCAGGGAAATAGCCTTTGCAGTGAGTTAAGCAGTCACGATTTTTATTCAAGCCTAAGTTGATAGTGTAATCTTTATCGCCTCTGTAATCGGGTGATAACGTTCCTTTTGTAGAAGAGCGGCTACTTTTAAATCCGCGATTGAATGTGCAGGCAGATTAAAATGCTCCCCTACAGGTTTGTGTGTGTGACCGTCCCTGATGTCTGATTTGTGTCCATTTTTCCTTTGGCGCAGCGCCTGTCCAGTTTGGCCAATGTATGCGGCAGAGGGGCATGGCTGGCACTTGCTGGCGTATATCCCATTCCAGGCTCTGCCGTGAATGAGCCCTGAGGTGGTAGCTGGGGTTGTTAGGGCCAGGAGTGGTGTCGGGGGTGCAGCTGTGCGGACAGAGCTGGCGGTGGGGTTTGTTGCAGGGGTGGTTCCTGGGGAAGTGTGTTTGAGGTGTGGCAGCAGGTGGGTATTTGCTTCAGGCTGGGGGGCTGTCTGTAGGTGAGGACTGGCCTGTGTCCCACAAAAGTTAATGCCCCAATAAATCCGTGAGTCCCTCAGGTGCCCCAGGACCCTGGGCTGTTTTCCCCGGGACCCCTCCGAGACAAGGGAGGGAGAGACCCCACCAGACCAGGACGGGCTAAGCACGGTCCTGCTGCCCTGTACTCACGCAACAAGCGTCACCACATTTCAC